CATTTGCGGAGGCCAAGGGACTCGATGCGGTCAACGAGCGGATGCCGCCCCGACGAGATCAGCCGCCCACACCCAGCGACGATCATCCGCACCCGCATCATCATAGTCAGGGCAACAATGGAGCGGCGCATGGATAAGGAATTTGCGCGAAGGGCAACGGCAACGGCGTGGGAGGGACAACAGGAGTCGGTGGCTTCTGTGTGGGCGCCGATTACGGTCGGTAATACCAATAAGTAATACCTGTTGTCGGATCAGAAGTGCGTGGCGTTGTGTGTGTGTGTGTATGTGTGACTGGGTGTGCTGCCTGTGCCGGTTGTGCGGGCAGAGCACGCTCTGAGCACGTGCAAGAGGGGCCACAGTGTGCTCCCTTACCCACACACACAGACTCGCATAGCCACACACACACGTACACACCCATATACACACCCATACACACACACACATGCGAGAGCATGCATATAATATTTACATAAAATATCTACATATAAACATAATAATGTTGCAAAGATTTGTCGTTTTAGCTAAAACATCATTCGTAATAATTGTAATACACAAATACATACTTACTTTAATGATAAGCAAAAAGGTCAAAGGCGAGGTAACAATTGAATTGAATAGTTGAACAATTGGAGCAGAGCTGATCATATATACATATGTATATGGAATATGGCACGTGGAAATTCTATATAAATATTTCACTCTGAGAACAAACAACCAAACAGCAGCAGCAAGAAAGGAGCAAAGGACTTATGCCCGTTGAGGTATGCAGGATATTACAATTAATGCATTGATCGATTACTTTTACGCTCTAGCCACAGATTCCTTTTCCGTAATACACATAAAAAATACAAAAACAAAAACAAAAAAAATCCGAAACTAATCTTAAGCTTGTATGTATAAAGAATGAAACAAAAAATGTTAAATAGCAAAAAAATGAAAGAAAGAAAGAAAGAAAGAAAAAAAAAACAACCAAAAACCTAGCGCTAATATGTTGAAAACAGTTAGCAGCGCCAAAAAGAAGCGTACATATATTATGTTTAATTGAGAGCAGAGAAACAAGAGAGGAAAACATTAACAAAAACAAATACAAACTTCTATGAATGAAAGCAAAGAACTGTGCAATCTTGAAGGGAAAACAAAAACAAACACAACAAATGTTAATTGTTGCTTGAACATTGTAAAATTCGCAAGATCCCGAAGAAATTTTCAAACAATTTGCAATATGTGTCGCAATAGTCCATTAATTAATGTTCCTTGTACATTTTACAGAATGCATATGTACATATATACATATATGTGTGTGTATATGTATGTATGTATTTGTTTGTTGTTTATATTGTTGCCTAATGTAACTGAACTTAACTTAACTTGCATATATGTTTCTATGTGTGAACTCGTGTTTAATTTATTGTGTTTTTTATTTGCTTAGCCAAAAACATGTTGAACTCTGATTACAATTGTGAGGGAAAGAGACAGAAGGAACAACAAATGAAATCGCAAATGCAAAATTTGGATAGCAACTTAAATAATTATTTAGCAATTAAACATTGCATTTTAAATATCCAAAAGAAATGAACAAAGCAAAAACAAAGAAAAAAAAAACACTAAAAATGGCATAAGGATTTAAGTACCACACAAACTAAACAAAAACAAAAACAATTTAACATTTAAATAGCTAATCAAATATATTTAACTAAATAAATAAAATATTATAAATATCTAAGCACACACACATATATGTGCGTGTGTGTGTGTGTGTGTATGTATAACTACAACTGCAAATGAATATCACATGTTTTCATATTCCTTTCTTTTTTTTTTGTTTTTGTTAAACAAATATATACATATATATAAAGTAAATTTATATATGTATTTATATTAGATCCAATAAACACTAACTAAAACATTTGCACCCATATATCGCATAGCTTTTTTATTATTATTTATATTTGTTTTGTTTTTGTTATGAAATTTGGAATAAAAATATAAAGCAAAGAATTTCACTTGATAGCGAATAAGAAGAAGCACGCACAGCATTTTCCGTTTTTCTTTTCCACAAATTATGCACAAGACATCAGAAAAGCAAATCAATATATAAAGTATATTATAAAAAAAAAAAATAAATAAAAAATAAATATATATACTTATAAATTATATATATAAATATGAATGTTTTTTGGCAAATAGTATATATATATATAACGAACTCGTACTGTATAAAGTCTAAATGAAAACAATAAGCTTTTTACTTAACTCTGTCACACACGTCAGGCAGCACTTGAAACAATTTCCCAGAACAATTTTTAGAACTGAAATCAAAAGATTTACTTGTGCCATGCGAGAACTCAACAAAAGTTAAAAAAAAAAAAACAAGCAAAAAAACAACTAATATAACATAACTCGAGTTAGCTAATGTTTCAATTAACAAGAACTTGCATCGGGGACATTAAGGAATCAAACAAAAAATCTTCATATCCTTCAGTTTTGTTGTTTTTCGAATATATCTCTCACTAACAAGAAAAAGTTAGCTATGAAAATATTTGAAATTTACCATATTTCTCTTATGTTGTAAGTAGAGCATTAAATCGTCATTGATATATACAAATATATCAAATTTGACTCTCATAAGATCAAACCAAAGCAAAGCCAATAACTTCTATGATTCACAAGAATATGTATAATTCATAAAAAAGAAAAATCCAAGCCATTTAAATGTGGTATACCTTGAAACAAGTCTCCGATATACTGTCCCTTAACGTAACTAAGTCATATATTTATATATAAAAATATATACATATACATACATACGGAAATGCCTTCATAATCAACGTTTCGTTAATGACTCTCAGTCGGGTCCCAATTGACATTTGCTGTTTTTCCACCAACTTTTCTAAAACGCTGTACTTTGCTTATCAAAATTTGCGAACTATATTCGGAATTCTAAAACACACATATATATATATAATTAATTAATTATACGTCAACTGATCCTTAATATGTAAAGTCATAAAACTTAGAGTAATTAACTTAAATTTAATGGATTATGCACGTGTCGAAATAATACTTACGCAATTATAAATATATATATATATATACCTATATATATATAAATATAAATACATATATATTTTCAAACTGAATACTAAGATAAACTGAGAAAATTTAGCTTTTATAAAAATCCACAGAATTAATCAACTTGAGAAGAAATTACAGTTAATATATAACACTTTGGCACCACTAACTACAGTCAGTCTATAGGAAATAAGTTTTTAAGCCCAAAACTACATGAATTTTGTTACAGTGATTTATGTTTATTCCGCTTATAAACGAAAAATGTTAAAACCAATTTAGTTAGTAATAATTATTAAAAGAAAAAGAAGAAGAAGAACCCTTTAAGAAAAGGAAATTATTTGCTAAATGAGCAGCGAGCGAATGAAATTGTAAACTTACATCAATTTAATGAAAATGGAATACTGGATAAAAAGAAATCCAAAGGAAAATCAAACACCAAGCTGCGAGGCGTGTTTAAAGATTTACACATACACACACACACACACACATACACAGACACAGAGAGAAAGATGTGTTATACGTTGTTGAGAGCGAATTCAACTGTTATATTAAATGGCGCCAATTGTCATATGTATGCCTGTGCGCGTACATATAACAGTAATGAATAGTCTATTGTTAATCAATGCTAACTAGAAATGAAACCAAACAGCGTGCTTCTCAATTAACTGTTCCATTTACAACAATTTATAAATTGTATAACAAAATGTCATTTGTTGTCCACCGCTTAGAACCAGAATACAACATACAAAGTTAAAGACGTACATACACATATATATGTAGGTGTATATGTAGGCAGTCAAGAAACACACATACACACGCAGGATACGCAGATACATACATATAGATTTTGATAAATATCAAGAGTATAACAAGAAATACGCTACACACAGATACACACACATACATACATACATATATGGCTCGACCACAAACTCTAAGCAGAATCAAAAAGAAATTTACTCAATAACTAACAAAAATTAATTACTAAATAAATAAAATACAAATTATGAAAGAAGCATAAAAATGTATATGAGAACAGCATTATGTATATCTAAGACATTTAACATTTCGCCTCTTAAAGCAATTCTAAAGATAACAAATTATATACATACAGTATATATACATACAGTATACATACATATTATATAAACCAAATAAAATAAAAATTGTCGCGACTCTCCGCCTGCTTCTTCTGTTCATAATATTGCTCCCTTTACCTTTATCTCTTCTGTTGTCCCCGATAACAAGATTTATCCATTTCAGATCAAGTATTGTTCAGTTTTAATTGCTTGCATCTAGATCCTGGGTAATCATCCGTTAGCTGAAATTGGATGCAATAATGACTCAGATAAATGATCGCCAACTCAAGCTGAGTGATTTTATCAATTTGTAAAAATTCATTTCATATTTTTATTTTTATTTTATCCGATTCGCGCTCAATTTGATTTTAAAATGTATATCTAAAATGCATGACAAATTTCGTAGCGATCTCGAAATACCGATACTGGCTTTGTAGCCCTTGAGTAAGGTTTCGATAGTTGATAAGATAAATAAATCGTTATATCGATATTTACCACGCAACTCTAGTTCTGTATGTGTGTGTTATTTCTTGTGTTTTGTGCCGCCTAGGAATTGAAATTTGCAACCGTTTGCAAGACTTTCGCAATCAATAATTAGAAAAGTTATTATTTGTGACACACTTTGATTGTATAAAGCGTGTGCACAAATTCAAAGCTTGAAACAAAAACAATCGAAAATACGGCAAGAGAGTGAGAGAGCGACGCATTCAGAGCAGAGTCCGCCCGCGTGCCAGTACATATGTGTGTGTGTTGTGTGTGAGTTTCGCCCGTGTGTGTATGAATGAAGCTGGCATGTGTATGCGTGTCTGTAAATGTGTGTGTGTTTTTGTACGGTTGGAAATTGTGTGATTAACTGCAGTCAGCCTCGTCTGGTAGTCATTCAAAAGTAGTATTAAAACGGCGGTGGCAGCAACAATTCCAGTCATCCAACCGCTACGGCGACGCATCAAACATTAAGCCGTTAAAAACAGTCCCAGCAGCAGCAGCAGTAGCAGCAAAGAGACAATAAACACCCACGACGACATCAACAACCGACAACAGCAACAACAACAATAGGAGCACCAGCAGCAGCAACATCAGCCGTGGACAGTTTTAGTTGAAGTTCAATTTTCCAGTTGGTGCACAAAATGGATAGCAAAGGCCGAAAAGTTATTGTTTGTGATAACGGCACTGGGGTATGTATGCGTTGTGTGGCCACATGCTAACGCTGCCCGAAACCGAACCCGAACCCAAATCAAGCCCAAATCCCGTCTAGCCTCAAGTTGGATGACACACATATTTGCAGTTCTCCGCTTGCCCAGCGATGTATGTAGGTTAAACAGAGATTTTCTTCGTATATCGGGGCGTTGACGTTGCGGGGGGGCGCTCCCCCTAATGTTGCCGGCCCAAGCTATGCTGAAGCCAGTATGTGTGTGTGTGTGAGTGTGTGTGTGTGTACGTGTATATAATGCCCATATATTTATTTATTTATGTGCACATACATGTGTATATAAACGGAGCTTTAGTCATGGCTACACAAGCGTTGTACAAGCTGCGTCGGCATAGTATTACTCACCGCAGCAAATCAAAAGTTACGCATACTGTGCCTCTCTCTCTCTCTCTCCCTATCACACTCTCTCTATACACTCACACACACGCCCAATGCCAACAACAAAAAGAGCGCCAGAATGAAGACAAACAACAACAAGAAGCGGAGCACCCATTACCAATCTTATTTCTTATCAGGACTAAAAAGAATTTGTTTGTGATTACGTTTCGCTGGGCCACACGAGCTATCGATTATTGCAAGTCTTTCGATAACTGAATCCATTGTCATATCCAACAACAAAATTCGAAATCTATGAATTTTCTATTTCCAAATTGAGCATATATTGTACATATGATTGTAAACTTAAATGTTTTATAAACGTACGTCAAATGATGTCTGAATAATGTTTTGTCGTGATTAATTACTGATTAGTCTGCGTAAATAACAAGGCCTTTTTTTTTTAAATTAAAGAAAAGCGTTCTGGATTCATATTGTATTTAGAATCAAATATTATTAAGCAGCTCTTCCACTATGACTTGCTCTTCGAACGATAGAGAAGTTGTATTATAACGTTTGATTTTTAAAAGAGGTAGAATTTCCTATGGACAGCTGTTTCAATTGAGTTTTAACCTTTGGTAACTTAGTCTTCTATAAATATATCCTTTTGGAGAATGATCTATAATATACCTGCCGAACGCCCTTTACAGTAGTCTCTCTATAGAGTATTAACGGAGCTTCGAGTTTCCTTTAGACACCGTTATAGATCATTTTGTATGGTGGTGTTTGATCTACAGTATAACGCGTTAACAGAGAGATCAAATTTCTTTGAGATATTTATGTATAGAGTTTGATTTACAATACAGATCTGGAACATCTAGTAGACATATATATTTATAGACCTTCGACTATGTTATTATAGAACTCTTTTTGGAAAACACTTCTAATTCAAGAGATCGTTCTCCATAGAAGCTTTAAATTATTATTATATAGTCTTTATTTATAATAGAAGTTCAGAACTGCTCTCAAATTACCTCTATATACAGTTCTACGAATCAAGTAGTCGCAGCTGTGTCTCAAATCCGCGCAAGCTGTTTGTGTGTGAATCAATCGGGGCTGTGACGAGGTGTCTGGGCAATGGCATTAGTTTGTGGCAAAAATCGATGCACTTAAGAGTAATGACGATTTGTTATAATTTTTCCTTTTTCTCATCTATAGTTCGTGAAATGCGGATATGCCGGCAGCAATTTTCCCGCGCACATTTTCCCATCGATGGTTGGTCGACCAATAATTCGGGCGGTCAACAAAATTGGTGACATCGAAGTCAAGGTATGAGAAGCGTATTTACCAATAGATACACACACATACATATATCATACATATATACATATATGTATATATATTAATTGTCTAACAGTTAATACTACACACACACACATACGTGCATACTTAATATATACATACATATAAAGATACATACATACATATATGCACAGGTCGATTATCTATTCATAATAATTAAGTACTATATATAGTTACATCACACACACAAACACACACCCACACACACACACATACATATATGTATATGCATATGTGTATATGTATGTGTGCGTATATGTATGATTAGCATTGGTCAAGAACTTAGCGCATAGCCTCACCATACTTATCATAGTGTATGTCCATTATTATCATTAGTATCTTTTCACTTTCACATTTCCATATCCATTTCCATTGGCATTTTCATTCTTGTTTCTTGAATACCAAACACAACAACTGCTTAACTTACGATATTTTTGCCATTTGGTATTGTTTCTTATCACGAATATTATTATTTCTTTAGTTTTATCACTCTCACTATCTCCTTCTGCCTAGTTCTTTCTCTCTCTCTCTCTCTCTCTCTGTCTCTTGCAACGTTTTCTACATTCATTGCATTTTGTATTGAGTTGCTGAATCAATAGTCATCATCATCATCATCATCATCATCATCTTCATCATCATCATCGTTATGGTTATTATTTTTATTATTATTATTATAATGGGTGTCTGTTTTTGGTCTTGGTATACTTCATACAATTCTCACGACTGTTACGTGGTGTGGGTGCATCCGAAATCTAATTATACCAAGTGTAACGGTACAAGTATACCAACAAGTTTCGCATATGATATGATGAGGATAATGGATGAATCACTTTCGACTCTTTTAGTCTGTCATCTAGCAGCGTAGAGCCGCCTAGAGTAGGTAGGCTGTGCCTCAGCCGCGTCCCCGCATAACTAGTGCTTCGAGGTCAAATTTGATAGAGAGCATGACTTTTTTGCTTTCAGGCTTTTTGATTTTTCCATACATACATATCAATTAATGCTTTTCCCGTTTCCTTTTGTTCTTCCCTTCTTGTTTCGAGCGCTTTCCATACCCGATAAACACACACACATACCAAGTAGATCGATTTATTGGGCAAATTTAATACAGTTGATCATATTATATATACGTATATATAAGTTTAGCTTATTCAACATTCAGATAAAATCTCTAATGAGGAATTCATTCTGTTTTTTTAATATTCTTCTTATACATTTTTTCTGTTCTTTTTTTACATATTTTTTTGAAACAAATATTTTACAGGATTTACATGTCGATGTAAGTCAAGTTTTATAGCTTAAAAAAAAAAAAACAAAACAAAAAAACAAAAAAGAAAAAGAAAATAAAACGACAAATATTTAATCCGAATTCCAAGTGTTGTATTGCATAATTAAATGACTTAATTAAATTAAATTCAACTTCTCCAACTTAAATTGCAATTCCTATTTACACACACGAAATGCACAACCTAAAGTCGAATAAATATTGAGTAAAACTTAAAAAATAAAATCAGTTATAGTTATCTAGTGTTTCTTATATTGTTGTTGCACTCGCTAAATAATTAATCGATTATTATATATACTGTATATTGTATTTGCATTAGAAGTAAAAACAAATCTCATTCATTTGTTTTCAGTCTCGAATATGAAGAAGATGAAAATCATGTGAAATTGAAATTTTCATGTTATCATACAAATATATTTGTTGTTTCATTTCTTTTTCTTTTTAATAAATGCAGTTAATTTTATTTGTTATGTTTTGTATTTACTTAATTTGTATACCTGCAATAGATGTAGTCAAGTTATATATTATATATGTTTGCCCCTCCCTTGTTTTCTTTGCATGAGTAAAGTAAGTAAATTGTAATATAAATATATATATATTTTATTTGATATATATGTTTTTAATTAATTATTATTATTATTTTTTTTTTTTTTTGCACTAATGCACGATAAACAATCGGAAGCTAATGGAGATTTGCTTAAATTATAAATCAGATTTGCTACTCGTTACTCGTTACTAGTTACTCGTTATTCGTTACTCGTTATTCGTTACTTGTTGCTGCATAGAATTCTAATTTTTGCTCGTTATGCTTTTTGCCTGTCGTATAACTAAGTGTGTTGAGCTAGAGTAATTCGTAAACGCTGTTTGAATCGAACAATGTACTAAACAAATGCAAAGATAATAATAAAATAATAATATTGAAATGCTCTCGCTGCATTGATATTAAACAATCTGTGATGGCCATCTTACAGGATCTGATGGTCGGCGATGAAGCCTCAAAACTGCGCTCACTACTGGAGGTCTCCTATCCCATGGAGAACGGTGTGGTACGGAATTGGGACGACATGTGCCACGTGTGGGACTATACGTTCGGGCCCAAGAAAATGGATATTGATCCGACGAACACAAAGATCTTGCTGACTGAACCGCCCATGAATCCCACAAAGAATCGCGAAAAGATGATCGAGGTAAGCCAATCTTGTATCCATATCTCCATGAATGGCATCTCACTTTCACTTCTTTCATAATTATTCTCTTTTTCAGGTGATGTTTGAGAAATACGGTTTCGATGCCACGTATATTGCCATACAGGCGGTATTAACGCTGTACGCCCAGGGTCTTATCTCCGGCGTGGTGATCGACTCTGGTGACGGCGTCACGCACATCTGTCCAGTCTATGAGGAGTTCTCGCTGCCACATTTAACGAGGCGGCTGGATATTGCGGGTCGGGATATAACGCGCTATTTGATTAAGGTATATGCCATATGCGCATTCCCCATGTTGCTCAACTTAATGTCATTTTGTGATTTGCAATGTTTCAGTTACTTTTACTACGTGGCTATGCTTTTAATCATTCCGCTGACTTTGAAACGGTGCGCATCATGAAGGAGAAACTCTGCTATATTGGCTACGACATTGAAATGGAGCAACGGTTGGCACTGGAGACCACGGTGCTGGTGGAATCCTATACGGTACGATCTGCTTATAGTGTACACAGCGCGCACATATTTTACATTTATGCTTGGTATGGGATTTCAGTTACCCGATGGCCGTGTGATCAAAGTGGGTGGTGAGCGTTTCGAAGCGCCTGAGGCGTTATTCCAACCGCATTTAATAAACGTTGAGGGACCCGGCATTGCGGAACTGGCCTTCAACACGATACAGGCGGCGGACATTGATATACGGCCCGAGCTCTATAAGCACATAGTGCTGTCTGGCGGCTCGACCATGTATCCGGGTCTGCCCAGTCGTCTGGAGCGTGAAATAAAGCAATTGTATTTGGAGCGAGTACTCAAGAACGATACGGAAAAATTGGCGGTAGGTCGTTCGATCTCCCATTGTATTTCATAATTATAATCATTGACTTTTCTTCTGCTAATTTGTAAAGAAATTCAAAATACGAATTGAGGATCCGCCGCGTCGCAAAGATATGGTTTTCATTGGTGGCGCTGTATTGGCTGAGGTAACGAAAGATCGCGATGGCTTCTGGATGTCCAAACAGGAGTATCAAGAACAGGGACTAAAAGTCTTGCAGAAGCTGCAGAAGGTCAGCAAATAAAGCAAGAACAACCATAACAACAACAACAACAGCAACAACAGCAAAAACAACAACAATAACAATAATAACAACAATAGCAAAAGCTAACGATGATCAATGATGAGCAGCAGCATTTGCATTTGCTTAGCTTAAGTTAAAAATGAGTATATAAAACAACAGAAGATATGATTGTAGTGCACATTGCTAGCTAGACAATGGTGTTTGGCTATATATATTGCAAACGGGGGCGTGCACTATATGTTCATTCAGTTCTTACTATTCGTAAATATGCCCCTCCTTGTTTCATACATACTACATTCGTATATGCACAAAAGTAAGAGCGTACTTTTCACACACACCAAACCAACACCTTCTTTAATTGCTATGTTATAAACGTATTGCCAAATTTTGTATAATTTGTCTATTTGGCTCTAAATAATTTAAGCAAATGTCATAGTTTTGTAATAGTTTTCTTTATTATCATTAAGCCCTTGTTTCCCTTGTTTTCAATACTATATTATTATTATCATTTTTTTTTCTTACTAAATATATATGTGCATAGATTGTATTGATATTTTTGTAAACTCAAGTATCTTTTCATTTGTGCTTTAGCCTAAAATCGAAACCCAAGTATTTTCATGTTTCCTTGTCAATCTAAAACAAAAACAAAAACAAAACGAGAAAGAAAGAAAGCAAGAGTATTAATCAAGTCTGGGCATGTTGCTTATAGTTATAGCAGCGATTATAAATCGCCTGGGCATTTGTCTGTGTGTGCGAGTGCGAGTGTGTGTGCGTGTGTGTGCGGGTATGCCAGCGTGTGTGTGTGTTTGTGTGCGTGTGCGAAAGAGACAATGAGTGAGCTGCATAGTTAAAAGTGAAATACTACATACATACTTACATACATATATAGAAAATGATTTATGCTAACTAAGTTAGTTGTCTGCAGCTGCGTTTGCTAGTTCATATTGCAATACATGACTGCCCATAATTTTAAGCCTACTCCATTAAAACATAAATCAATACAACAGCAACAGCAACAGCAACAACAACAACAACAACAATCAAAAACTCTTGTTAACGTTGTGCATATTGAAGAATTCAATAAACATTAATTGTATGTATCTATGCGAAATGTTTATTATTATTAACATGATAAGGATTCGATATAAGAATCCGGCTACAAAGCAACGTTGGGAACATGAATATCTATGCCATATAGACAATATTTCTGAATCAGAATCTGAGCTGCTTAACGGTATTCTAGATATTTTCACAGTTCAGTTTAGATTGACAGTTTAGTTAGCGTAATTAATTGTTAAGTGCATTTAGCCAATTATTGGGATTGCACAGTATTCGAGTTTGAGACCAAGATTAAAATCGGATTTTTAAAGACTTGCTACTGAATTTTATAATATTCTTTAAGAGCTGATACATGTACTTTAGGTTATTTTTGACTCTTCCCCTAATTGTTATTAAGAAATTTGAGCCAAGCTCAGTTAACAAATATTGTGGTAAGACTATAAAATTCCCCTAAACACGTATCAGCTCAGTTTATAGATCAGTTTATGCTCCACACAGCAAATCCCTTAGAACGGCTAAAACTAATATACTCTCTTCATTTCGCTTAACCTTAATTAATGAGGCATTTACGGAGTGGGGTAAGAGTGATAACCATGCTCTTTTAAGGTCATCTTTTTCTATGAAAATCTCTTATTCTGTTGTGAAATTTTTGTATTTAATCCATTAGAATTTATTTCTATCAAGTCAGCTAGAACTGATGACCATATGGGTCTATTTTATGTAATTTTCCATCACTATTGCCAGAACAAGGCTATCACATCTCACCTTGTATATATATTTACCATATATACCATATATGTATCTAGGACCTATAATGATCCCTTAAAGAAATCTGGAATGGTTAAGTCGAGTGAACGGAACAAACAGAAATGAGAGTTTGAACGAACTGGATGGAAATTCTTCATTTGCTGAATTCCGTTTGCTTGCGGAGTGAGCTTATCAATTTATATTCCACCAATAACCACTCCTATTGGGCATCCTGTACAATATATTTTACTTACATGCATACATGCTTACTTTTGACACCAGCACCTGAAATAGTTGTGCGAAATCGAAAGAAAAAGTCGCTTCAGTTTGTTAATTTAGAGTACACACTCATACGTAGACACTGCAGCTGTTTATTTAGACTTTTCAAAACGCATTCGATACATTTAGTGTTACAACAATTCTATAAACATTTTTAGTACAATGTAAATATATGTATATATGTTGTTGTATATGGCGGTATAACAGATTTGCTATGGGGGGGGGCGACATCGACAGATGGATCAACACTTAAACAATTATATAAACAGATTCAACGATTGCCTCGTCCTGCAGCCAGCCCCGAATATCTCTTTCGTTGTGAATCTTAAGTAAAAATATCAGTTTATATTGTATACACTCAGATGTTTCAAAAACGAAGACAACAAAAAAAAAATATATATATACGAGGAACTTAATCTCGATCATTTAACTATTTCTGCGTGTACATTAATACATGCAATAGTAAGTGTGTGTGTGTGTGTGAAGCATGTGTGTATATTAAGTTTAGTCAGTATTTAGTAGTAGTTAATAAATAAGTAGAAAATTCTTTTGTTTCACTTGATACACAATACATATAAAAATACAAGAGGGTCCATAGGTTACAGCGTTTCGTCGGCTTCTTGATTTGTTTCTTTTATATATATATATATTTATTTTGTTTTTCTTTTTATTTTTGTCTTGTTTTTATATATTTATTTAATTTTCTTTGTAAATATCTTAGTTCAGAGAAAAAGTACACAAAATCGAAGGAGTTGTTTCAGTTTCACTTTGGTTTGGTTTCGTTTCATTTCGTTTCGTTTTCATTGCACAAAATTAAAACCAAACAATAATAGTTTATGCGTGTGTGTGTATGCGTGTAACGGTTAGTGCTTAGCGCTCATATCTGTGTTGGTGTGCATTCGATTGGCTGTTTTGGGCAAGCAGTTGACAAGCAGTTGCCAAGCAGTTCAGTTACTTTTAAATTTTCATAGCATACTTTTGAGCTGCTGCCATTTCAAATAGATCAGCTCAATATGCGTATTGTAGATTCGTTGTTTTGCTTTGTGTTCTCTTTACTCTTCATATATGTATGTATATATGTTCCCTGTTGAGCTTGCCCGTCAAAAAGTTAACTATACACCGATTGAAAACAATATTAACATCTTAAACTGCAAAGCAGCAACAACAACATCAATATCAACATCAACACCAACACACAAACATCAATTGTTTGTTACCAGCTCTTGGCCAAAAAAAGTGTATATATATATATATATATATATATATATATATGTATGTATGTAGAAGTTTCAACTGTTTATAACATTTATTAGCTAGTCTGCTTTATCGGTTAGTTCTATGCGATTTCTTAGTTTAAATATTACGGCAATAAAATAATTACATATACATGTATAAAAAATTAATGTATACAATATTAATAATAAAACTATACATATGCACACACACATACACACACACACACACACACACATCCACATGCCATATTTGCATATTTGCTATGCCTTAAATCTAAGGAAACACATTAAATACATCTAAAGCCACATATGTGTATTAGTTTAATGTTGTGTATGTGCTTGTGTGCGTGTGTGTGTGTGTGCAATTAGCTTAGTTATTGGCATTACCATAATAAAGTTATATAAATTAAGCTACCATATTAAAGTAAATACTTAAATTGCAAAAAAAAAAAAAACAAACAAACAATTTGCTACACCACTTATACACATACACCGCCCCACACATACATACATATATAATATGTCTGTCCTTCCGTCTGCTGTTAACATATCTATATATATAAATATATATATAGATATATATAAGTGGCTAATACAAGTAAAACACGTACACATTGCCACGCCCCTACGTTGTGGCATTTACTACGAGTCGGTTTTAGCTTCAGATCTATGTTGTGCATAAGTATATAAATATACATATATGTATTATATTCAACGTAACCTCAACAATGCACATACTTCTTCTTCTTATCCCTCTTCTTCTTCTTCTTCATATAACAATATCGCGTAACATCCATGCTCAAGTGCCCCAACAGTTTTATCATACATATTCAACATTAGTTACATATCACAAATAGTGCGGTTTCATCCGCTTCCCCATGCCCCCAACGTCTCATTTCCCCCCACTCGTCATCATCCACTCAGCCATCCATCCATCCATCCATCCAGCCATTCAGCCATTCAGCAATGCCAGATGTGCCGTTCAGCTGTGGCAACTGCTGCAACACATAATAAATGCAATTTTGAAACCATTTCTCAAAAAGCTTCAAGCCAGGAATTTCGTTGAGTCGAGTTGATCAAAACCTAAGTGCATTTAGATTGAGTTGCGTTGAGTTCGAATTCGAGTTCGAGTTCGAATTTGAGTTTGATTTGAATTCAGATGAGTTGCTTGGCTCAAGCTTCGGTTGTGTTCGCTGGATTGAAGTGGCTGCCACCTCCATTCGCATGCGAGCCATGCAACGACTCCTGTGACTTGAACAGCGTTGTTGTTTCGCTCGAGTGCATGTCGCCATCATCATCATCATCATCTTCATCATCGTCGTCGTCGTCGTTGCCATTATCAAAATTCTGCCCTGCCACCTCCACCTTCAGCTCCTCCTTCACATCCAGTTTGCCCCCATCATCATCATTTGCATCGTTCTGCTCCTGCAGCCCGTCATTTATAACAATCTGAATATCGTTAGGTTGAGTCTCGGTAGCCTCCACCGCCAACTCGTCGGGATCTGTCAGTTCGTTTAGCTGCACGTTTGAGGGCTGCTCCTCGAGTTGCGGCCGGCGCCTGGTGAAGAGAAACACCTCCATGTGATCCTTGCCCTTGACATAAACGCTGCCGCGCGGCTCAAACTCGTAGCAGGCGGTCAGAAAGGGCAGGCAGTCCTTGCCCACCTGTATGCGATTGGGCAGACCCGTCGAGTCCATGCGCGACGCCACATTGACCG